ATAACATATGAATCTTCAATTAAAAACAACTGCATTATACTGCTGAACACACGAATTTTATCATGTTGAGCCCATATTGCAAAGAAACGGAACGTTCACGAACATTCAATGCCCATTAACTAAATGGGCATTGCGAATCGAATTACATCATTGTAGAACAAAGGTTTTTGTGGAACAACAGAAACAGCGATAAAAAATACATATTGCGCAGCAAATCATAAGTGCGAGTTGAATGTGAATAGAATGTCATTTTTTGTGAATAAATGTTCTGATATAATTTCGAATCTTTAATGTTCTTATATTTACACTTAGAATGATTTTTTTGATAATTTGCCGATATTCAGGCAATTTGAACTAACTGGTCATTTGTTAAATATTTTTGATTTTCTTCGAAATTTGATCACTTGGGTGTAATTTTGTCGCGCAATAACATGTTCAATTCTTTTTAATATAGAAAATGTCATTAATCTAAATGCCAATAGTACAATTTTCAATATTCGTTGAACACATCACACCGTATCTCAAGAAGAAAGAAGAACTCATAATGAATTGCAATCACAAGGGACAATTTCAAAATTTATCAAATTGTAAAAATCCCCGAGTTAATCGTAAATCTTTTTTAATTTGTATTTCAAAATGTAAATGAAATAACAATAATATTATTGGTTTGATATTGAATAAACCTTTTTAATCACAATGTGAAACGAATTATAAATCGAATTTCCTATTGATTTGGGTTATAATTTCTTAAGCTATTGTCAGTTGAACATATTAGAACATATATTTTATATTTTCGAAAAAGTTGCAAGGATGGCTTTCAATTGGAATCGATTGTTTTGTTTTGTGATTCATCTTTCGTTGGTGATGAGTTTGAATGTAAGATAATTATAAATTTATGAATTTAATTTATGCTTAAAAAATTGAGTTTTTTCTATTGTGGCTCATTCGCTTTTAGGTTTCAGATGATGCACCAATTACATATGCTGTGCTGTACAGTAACTTCAAACATTTCTCGCAAGGTTGGGGGGAAGTTGAATATAGAGACTATTCAAAATCATATGCAGTGGTTGATTATTCTCATTACGCGAATAATTTTGATGAATTTAGAGAAAAATATCCGTTTTTAACAATCGAAACAACTGGTAAAGCTGAATCTGAATCAACTTTTGGGAATCCAGGCAGAGGAAAGTTTGGCACATTGACCTTCGATACGAGAAAGTTTGACAGTAGTGAATATCATAATGAGATTTTGGTTGTTGCGCATGATTCTAAATTGAGTTCGTATGGTGTTCGAGTCGAGATCGGCATTGGATTTAAAAAAAATGACAACGAATTATATTTAAGACCATTTATTCATGGATATTTTTATAGCTGGTTTTATAGTTTTATGGTGGAGTTGAAAGAACTCTAGATTTCGGTCTTGGTGTTACGAATATCACATTTCATCCTTCAAAAATCGAATATGTATTTGTCGAATTGAAGAACTCTTTATAACAAAAACGGAGTTCCTCTAATTTTTCGATACCTTCGACTTCAATTCAGACGAGTTTCATGAAAATAACTTCTAATTTCTATTGTTTGACATTTGGGAAACATTATTATTTTTCATATTTTTATTATTTTCTGTCAGCAACAAGATTTTCGGAAAAATATATATTCGGAAAAATGGATTTTCGGAAATTATTCAGATTTAATTCGGCAAACAATTTTCAGACAAATCTTAGGACCCTCCGGTAAGTGAACGGTCTTGAAAAGAAGTGTGCTGTGAAATGTCAGATTTGTTATGAAATTTTAAAATACTAAACCCAACGTGTGTCTCGAAGCCTTGGAAATTAAAAATCGTGCTAATTAGTAGATGATTTTACCAGTAGATAGTATGCATCATTCAAATTGGTATAAAAAACAACACAAAAAGATTTTTATATAGATATAGATAGTAAAAAATCATGTAACTCACAAGTAAATTGAGCGGTATTTTTACGATTTTATAAATTTCACGTGCATTTGAAGTCAAATTGCTCATGGGATTCTTCTTTGTAATTTAATAATAATGGAGATACGTATTTGATATCGTATTTTCCTCATTATCTCCCTTCGTTAACAATTGTATGAAAAAATATGATTATTATATTTTAGCTCGTGAGATATATCTTTTCTTATTCATTGCCAGCATTTTTAAAAAAGAATATCGTACATAAAACATACAAAAATTGATAGGGATTGAATGTAATCCAACTCAAAAAACCAAACACAAAACACATCGTATTAAAACGGAAAATATATTAGCTGTGAATGGTTAATAAGTACCTTCAAAAGATGAAAATATACGTGGAATATAACGGCAAAACTTATCTCGTTCTGAACTACAGCATAAAAGAGAGAGGAAGAAAATCAATATCAAATCCAATTTACACGAATCAATGTAATTGCCTTGCTGAATGAATACAGTTCTGTTGGCTTTGCGACTGTTTGATGACATCATTACCATAATGATGTTGAAAAAATTCAACAATTCATTGTCGTAGAAATGTATTTTTACAACTTAAATTGAGAGAAACATTCGTCGTGATAAACTAAGGTTTCTCCATCAATTCGCAACATAAAAATAACTCACTTGCAATTACCTTATTTCAATTATATACTTTCTTCTGTTCATTTAAATTTTTCCAAGGTAAAAGTAATATTTGGTTGACTACCTTTATTCATAACTACAATAAAGTTTAAAAAAACACTCACAAAGTAATCAAAGGGCTGGATATAAAAGTATGGTAAAGCGTTTTTAGCATCACTACACAGTGAGAAATATTTGAGTAAGGTTACTCTGATGTTCGGAGTTAGTAGAGCGTCTACCCCTCAAAATGAAATAAAAGAGTATGATTTACAGTAGGCTGTCCTGGGATCACCGATTTTAAATCAATATATAGCTTGTTTTATTCCTTACACTTAGTAGAACATTTTGGTTAAGAAATTTTCATAATATAATTATTTTCCGCGATCAAACTTGAAGTAAAAAAAATGACCAATTGAAAGGTTTCACGTTGGAAAGATTTCAAAAGTCAACTGATTCATTCACAGATTTGTCACGAACATCTCACAGTGTCACACACTTAGCGTATGTTGTTATGATTATGTAAGAAGCATCGCATGAACACAACTCTGTTGACGGCAATACATGAAAGTTCTGAAATGTATTTGAAGTCACCATCTTGCCCGTTCAACGTGAAACCCTTCAATTGATTATTTTCTTTTTCTTCAATTTTAATCGCGGAAAATAAATTTTTTATAAAATTTTCTTTACCAAAATGTTCCACCAAGTGTAAGGAATATGAAGCGGATTTAATCTCAATGAATTCATCTTA